TTCTTGAGCCAAGGAGCATGTCAACTCGCTGGCGCTTCACTAAGCAGCTGATACTCCTATTTCAATTCAGGTTTTAGTAGCAATCGCCAAGTCATTTTAACGAATATGCGGATTATGTATCATATTACGTACTATGGTCCCACTAAAGCGATATTAGTATATTCTTCGGGTTGAAATATGAACTTAGTTAACTAACTATTATGTGAACTGCTGAATAAAAGTATATTTGACAAACAGAGAGATACTACTTAAACTTAGCCACACGGTTCTAGCCGGTAGAACGGAGACGAATGCGGACAAACTGAGGAGAGTCTTCATCGGAGATTCACTCAGACCTCTCTGCATTGAACTTGACTTCGAATCCTGAACGGATAAAATGAGTATTTTTTGTGGCCGGTCAACCTGAGCAATGTAGACGTGTATTGCTGCTGGCTTCGACAGGGGTTATAATATAAATATTGGAGGCGCGATAGATCTTAATGACGTGACAGCTTCTAACTTTGCGAGACGCGTCCCCCACCTTTTGAAAGCAGATAATTTCCCTCATTAATCATACGCAGCGAGCAGGTTTTTTGAATCAAGTAATTGCGAAATTAGCCCAACTCCCTTAACTTGGTCTTTTTCGGCGAAAAGCCGCCAAGATGAATAGCCAACGCACCGGCCGGCGTTACTGGCTCAAATTAACTTGAAGCTAATCGAGCACAACCAAACTCAAGGAAAGCAGCTATCGAACCTTCCCATTCACTTGACTGCAACATTGATGTTCCCTCCAGTGAAACACTTCGTCCGTCGACCTCAGTCCACTGTTCTACATCCTTATAAAGAAACCACCTATCAGTTACCAAGCAGTCGTCCCTTTGAATGTGATTAGAGACAGACGAGAAATCAAAACGTTTTTCCGTGATTCCTCCTCATCCAAAAAATTTAAAGCACGCGACCGTGTGTTGTGGAGTAAACGGGCTTTCAAACACGTGATGGAAAGAAACAATCTACTGAGGCTTCACCACACTAACGAACACTCAGGCAAACTTAAGAAATTTTCGGACCTTCGTCAAATTACATTGCTCGCCCCCGCGCCGACAGCACGTATCCGCGAAAGCCATCAGAGACGCGGCGGTGCGCGGAGCGACCTGGACCGACTGGTTCCCGGTTTTCCCGCTTGGCGGCGACCGTTTTGCTGGAGTCGCGAATATTTATTGCTCATTTAAGTTTTATTATAGGCGGCAAGCTACATTGAGGAGTTCAAAAGAGAAAGCAACACTTCTTAACAGACCAGCAGGCGTCGTACATTTTTAATGTGTAGAAATCGGCAGACGTCGTATTGATTCGGGGCCCTCATTGGCCTATATGAACGTCCCGCCCTTTCGGAATTAGCAGGTGGCCGTCAGCTTTCGCGCTGGTTGTGTTAGATGGGACGGCCCCTTGACAGTAAAGCGAGCAGCGCACCGTGTCACGAGGAGTTAAATGTTACGAAAGTTTCGTTGACGCGGCGAACATGTGACGACCACCCAGGAGGAGTCAGTCAGTCAGAGTATTGCAGAAGGGAAAGCAAATAAGTGTTGCCTGGGGGGATGAGGACACCAGTGCCTTAGAGTATCGGCGGTCCACAACAGTTCTGCCGGCCGAAACAGCGCCACGTGCGCGCTAAAACCGGCGGCGCGGGACAAAAATCCCGCAGACGCACACACGAAGATGGGCCGGTTCCGTTAGGTATGTGGGCAAATATTGAAACCAGCCATCCGTGCACGCGTGAAACGATACCGCGTATTTGCCCAAGCTTCGAGCGACCTATCCTTGAAACGGCCGTGTTCTCTCTTCGCAGGGATCCGATAGCACCGAAGGGTCATCTCTTTTGGAAGCAGCAAAGCCCCGAGACTAGTTGGGTCAAAGTCAGCCTCCTTGTCAACTATAGCAGTTTGTGAAGAGTGGTCTTCTCCCGAGATGAAAAGTTAGCGCAGGCTGACGTGTTCTTTTGAAAAAGGGAAGGGGAAAGAAGAAGTTTTGAGTAACTACAGTAACTACCTCGAAAGATCCTTTCCCGATATGAAGCTCGAGGCATGCTACGTCTCGGTTACCTTCTCGCGCATCGCTGCTCGAAGCTATTCTTCACTCTGTTCCGCACAAACGTCATGGCTATGCGGAACAGAGTGAAGAATAGATTCGAGCATCATCTGGACGCCGTGATCCTGCCAGGCTTCAGTGTCGTGGGACTGGACTCCGCGTCGGTCAGTTAATTTTTATTTCGTGTGTGTTTCTTCGCCCCGCTGAACTTTGTTTCGTTCTTTTTGGAATGTTTTCTTACTAACTGTTTGCTAGCATTGTTTACTTGTTGCGTTTATTTTGTCATGGCGTAGCGGCCTGACGGTGCTGTGGAGAAGCGTGTTCGCACGCATTTGGTTGCGTCCCGTTTAGGGATTGCCCGGAGGAGTTGGTTTTTGTTTTCGCCGTGTGCGGCTGAGTTTTTTCGTCTTGGTTAAATTTTTGTTTTTTGTTTTACCTTTACGTGTCGTCGACTTCTTTGTCTGACTCCACTAGGCGCGGACCTACCGCCTTGCCACCGCTCAAATCTAGATCTTTTATTTTTTAACGTAATTTTTGTTAAGCCTCGGAGTTGGGTAATTTTATCCTTGTTTATTTATTTTTATCCCTACCCCTTTCCGTGACAATCTCTCCGTGTGTTTCGGACCGTTTCTGTGTCTTCACTTTTGTGTATTAGGGTGATCTGAGCGATGTGCGGTGAACAAACCCTATCGTTTGGTTTCAGAAAGAATTGTATATAATATATCAATGGTGTGGTGACTTTCTATGTCTTAGTAGTATTACAGCTAATATATCTATAGTCGGTGACAGGTCAAGAACAAAGTGGAAGCTCCTCCCACCCCTTCGGTGGAGAGCGAACGGTGGAGAAGAGGCGACCTCCTCTCCACCGTTCGCTCCGACCCGACTCCTGGATATTGAAAGGCTACTAGGCCTGCGGATTTGATTAGATATGTTGCTCGTGGTATCCCGCTCTTATCAAAACATAAATAACTATTCAATACCACAAATTGCGTTTATAATTGATTACATGAAGCGAACAAAAATTCAAGAAAACTTTGTCACACTTCATAGAAACGCACGGGTCGCTATGTCTGACTCTACAACATACAAACAAAATAACACTTTCTCGACTTCCTTTTCAAGTAGACAGCTATCATATCAACATTGTAAAAAACAATTAAAAAATATAAACATAAAAAATGTTTTTTTTTAGAAAATTGATTTCAAAATTTATATTTTTGATTTTATTATAAAATTTACGTAAACGTACGGCAAAGGAAAATTGATACAGCTGAGCGATCTTATAATATATATAAAGATAGTGTTTTGGGCTCTCCATAGACACAAAAAAACATCGACGTAACCGAAAGTAGATTGCCAGTATTTAATTGTTAAAGTTCATCAACAATTAACCGAAAAGGCGTTTTTGACATTTTTACAAAAAAAAAAAAAGCAAAATGCCTAAAATTATTTTATGGCATTAGCGCCTTTTAACTGTGCTCACAGAGTACTTGAAAGAGGTTAATATAATGTGGACTGAAAATCCACGGCGAGAGATCGAGCGAAACATCCGACCCACGACGGATGTGAAAAACACTGCTTTCCGCCGTGACCTCTTTTGAAATTTGAAAGTCGAGAACGAAAAATCCGACGAACTTGCGTTTTTAGAGATGACGCCATAACCTATATTTTTTTAGCGAAATTAAGACTTTTGATCCTTTTTGCCTACGTGATTTGAGATAAAATTACCCATATATATATATATATATATATATATATATATATATATATATATATATATATATATATATATATATATATATATATACAGGTTTTTTTTTTTATTCTTACACATTTGTTTAAAAAATACCGTGAAAGCTACACTAATGCGGTTTGCGCAGGTGGGTTATACGGCCAGGTGGACATTATGTGGGTGGCTAATCTTTACGATAAGTCGGCTAATTAATTAAAATTCGTTAATTAACTTTTTAATTACTGGAAATAAACATATGGTTTCAGTTAGAAACTTGCTGAGCATCATCAAAAACCCCTAAATCAACTATTTTTAGCAAGATATAACGCCGGGGCAGCATTTTACGGCGTTCTGTAAAAACGCACTATTTGGACGCGTTTCTAGATTTCGGTTTCTTATCGGAGCGCATCTACGCGCCCGCGGTCCTGCTCCCCGGTGGTCACGGCGCGAAGCCACCTCCTCGCCTCCCTCGTAGAATGGAGGGAAGTACGGCGCACATCTGTTGCGCGTCTCAGCCACTGGGGAGCAGGACCGCTGGCGCGGTGATGCGCTCCGATAACAAACCGAAATCTAGAAATGCGTCCAAATGGAACGCTTTTACAGAACGCCGTAATATATATATAACAGATAAACTCTCCATTACGGAGTTTTAGACTGTTCCGACGATACCTCGATGAGCTTCGAAACGACCTACTAAAACTTTCTAATGGGGAGTCTTCAATAGCTCCGATATCTCCGATAACGGTACCCGATAGCGATTCGATGGATGCGTAAAGGCGTCGGCGGGATATCGGGAATCGCCATCTGAGATATCGGAACGATCTACTGGGGAATTTTAGGGGATCGTTCCGATAGCCCCGATGACGATATTCGGCATTCCGCTGACGCTTTCGCGCTCGCATCATATCGTTATCGGAGCTACCGGAACAATCCACTAAAACTCCCCATTATTTTTTAAACTGATCACGTGACCTACGCGTGATCCCCTCGCCCACCAGTCTGAAAGGGACGTGGAACGTGGGGCGGACCCTACGAAGGGACGAGGCGGCGGTGGGGGGACGCGCCGCTCGTCCTGATTGGCGGAGGCAGCCTTTCGATCCGATGACGTCACGGCAGCGCCCCGAACGCGAACCCCACGGGGCGCGGGTCGGGGCCCCACAGTTGGGACTCGGCGCTCGGCGGACCACCACTTGTTGCTCGCTCCAAGATGGCTTCCAACGTTATCCCGAACCTCGCTGCCAGCAACCGGGCCAAGTTCGCCATCAAGAGCTACAGCGTGGAGGTAAGCTGCGGCTGATTCAGAAAAAAGAAACAAGTTTTAAAATTAGTTGTTCATTGTTTATGTGAACCGTGGCGAACTTTAAAGTTTCGTATTTAGTTCTGCTTCGAAATAGTTTTTTTAGTGAAAGTTAGGTGCCGACTCGTGACAAATAAAAAAAAAAAAAAAAAAGAAGAAGAAAAAAAAAAAACGTTAGTGCGTCTATTTCTTAATGTAAACCACTCGGGAGCCAATAAAATATAAAGAATTTGGCGAATGATAACATTAAAAAATCGTTCCGACATAAAAAAAAAATTAATAGGTGCGCGTATATGGTTTGAGACGAATTGCGCTTCGTCACTCATAGCCTTCAAGGTTCAAAGGAAAGCCATTGCCATGGCAATGCATACCGCCCGCCTTACTTTACAGTATTGAACCTATGGTTCTGAAAAAATCCAGTTTGTGTACTTTCCCGCGAAGCACTTGGAAAGCCGGGGGGATCGGTGGCCGAGTACATTCCATTTTCGAACGCGCGAGCGCACGGAGGTGAAATCATGAGCTCCGAAGGAGCGGCGATAACGGCCCTCGCCGGCCGCGGTGATACTGTTTTTCCCGGCTCAAGTGAGTACAGGTTTTTGTTGCCCCAGCTTCCATCAGGTGATTCAATGAAGAAAGCGGTCGTCCTTCACTGCGACATGGCCGGGAGGCCATACAGGATTGAGGATTTCCGGCAACCGCTCGACGAACTGGGGGTCCTCAGGGAGGTAGCCGGAATTGGGGCGTACCAGATGTCCCATGTCTGGCTACTTGACCTGAGGACCGACGCGGCCAAGCTCAAGCTGGTGAACGCAGGGCGGCTCGCTGTCAAAGGGCGCACCTGCATCGTCGTGGACCCCTCCAGGCAAGAGGTGCGCATCAAGCTGCACTGGGTGGCGTTCGACGTGTCGAACGACACCATTCGCAAGGCTTTCTCGGAGTACGGCGAGGTGAAGGACGTCGCGTCCGATCGCTGGAAGGTGCCGGGCTTCGAGGGAGCCGAGTCTACCACCCGGATAGTGCGGCTGGTACTCCGGGAGGGCGTCAACCTTGACCGCCTCCCCCATCAGCTGCGCTTAGGAGGCGGCTTGGTATTGGTCGTCGTGCCTGGGAGGGCCCCAGTATGCCTCCGGTGCCGTAGGACGGGGCATATACGTCGAGACTGCCGGGCTCCCAGGTGCTCCGAGTGCCGCGCTTATGGCCACGAGCGTGACGACTGTGTCCGCTCCTACGCCCGAGCCGTGGGACGAGGAGTCAACGAAGACCACGTCGACGACATGATGGACGAGGAAGAGGCGGAGAGAGCGGCCGCGCCCGTGAAAACCCAGGCCGAACAAGCCAAGAGCGACGACGCTTCCGGCACCTCCCCCGAAGTGAACAACACCGTGCTGCCGGACAAGCCGTCGACTACGGCTCATGCAGATCCACCTGCAGTCGAGCGCTCGACGGTACCTCCAACAGGGAGCGCCGGCGGGGCAGCTGGTGCTTCGCCATTGCCAGACGAGGTCTCCACCACGCCAGAGATGGACGTCGAGCTGGGCTCTGCGAAGCGTAGGCTCGAAGACGTCACGGACACGACTGGTCAGGAACTTCGGCTGCGTCAGCTCGAGCGCAGGTGGAGAATGGTGTCGGGCGGGAGCGGAGTGGATGGCCACCAGCGGTCCGGCGCAGACCGAGGAGGACCACGCGACAAACTGTCGCAGTGAACGACAGTGTAGGCGGGTTGGTCCTCACTAACCCATGGTCTCCTTACAAAGTCCTGTCCGAGTAGCGACCCTTAATGTCCGAGGCCTCTCAGATCGCAGGAGGCAGAGGCAACTCTGCCGTCTAGCAGTCGAACAGGACCTCGACATCATCGCTGTGCAGGAGACCAAGGTCGAGAGTGAGGACCAGACCAACTTCATGGTTAGACCTTTTTCGGCGCGTTACGAAGTGTGTGTTAGTCACGCGGTTGGGTCGTCAGCGGGCTGTTTGTTGTTAGTGCGCCAGAGTTTGGGTGCAACAGTCGAGGCGGTGACGACATGTGATTCAGGGCGCTTTATTGTATGTGATTTTTCTCTTTCATCGCATGATTGGAGGGTCATTTGTGTGTACCCCTCCAATAAGGTTGATGAGCGGCGGGAGCTCTTTGATTTCATGCATCAGTATTGCAAAAGTGATCGCCTTATTATTTTTCTTGGCGATTTCAATTGCGTCTGCTCTGCTGGGGACAAGTCCAGCTCAACGCCCTATCGCGATTTAAGCACCGAGAGCCTTCTGAGGTTAATCAACGAGTCCGGCTTTGATGACGTCGGGGAATGTTTGAGGAATGGCCGCGAAATCCAGTACACCCATTTCCAAGGGTCGAGTCACGCCCGTCTAGATCGAGCGTACGTTTCTTTAGATTTGATACCATTATGTTTTGAATATCGCGTGCACCCTGTTTCCTTTAGTGATCACTGTCTAGTTTCCTTTTGTATGCGTAGTAAATCCCAAGCCAGGAAAGTCTTCAGCTGGGAATTATGGAAATTGAACGCGAAACTGTTGGAGGATGACGTTTTCACTGCCGAAGTGCAGGCCGCAGTTGAAACACTGGAGAGCCAGAAAAAATTAGGGTATGGTGTGAGATGGGAGCTTTTTAAGCAGGAAATGAAAATGAAAGCGTTAGAGCGGGCAGGCGTACTTAAAAGCACTGAAAGGAGCAACGAAATGTTATTGCGTAATAATTTGCGGATACTGCTAAAGGAAGAGACTAAAATGCCTGGGGCATACAAAGATGATATTTCTTGTGTGAAAGATAAACTTGAGATTCTAGATCGGGAACGATATTGTGGGGCGATTGTTAGAGCCAGAGCCGAAAGATGGTCAACAGGCGAAGCGCCAACTAAGCGTGCGCTGAGCCTCGAGAAAAGATACGCTCGGCGTAACGAGATAGCGGGGGTAGAGAGGAACGGATCACTTACGACCGATAAGGAAGAAATCGAACTCGCATTTTTCGAGTATTACAGTAGATTATTTGCGTCCTGTCCAGTAGATGTCCAGCTTTTTAAAGATGAATTTTTGGGTTTCATGCCGCGCATAGATGACGAAACGAAAGAATTACTAGAATCGACCATCAGCGTAGAGGAAGTGGTCTTTGCAATAGAAGCCCTAAACCCGGGAAAGTCCCCTGGCCCAGACGGCCTAAGTGCAGTTTTTTATAAGACTCAGAAGAACGAGATTGCCGCAGTCCTAGTCAAGGTATTCAATGAAGCATATGATTTGAATATGTTGCCTCCATCTTTTATGTCGTCGCACACAGTGTTAATTCCCAAAACAGATGACGTAGTTAAGTTGCAGCACGTCACAGCGTATCGGCCGATCAGTCTGACTAATGTAGACTACAAAATTTTAATGAAGATCTTAGCAAGGAGATTGCAATCTGTAATATCGGAAATAGTGGGGCCCCATCAAACTTGCGGCATTAAAGGAAGGACTATTTGCACCAACATCCACAAAGCACGCAGTGTTCTGGAGTGTTGCGACGCAATGCGTACTTGCGTTGCGATGCTCCAGGTAGATTTGGAAAAGGCTTTTGATCGCGTGCCTCACGACCTGCTTTTAACCATTCTCGATCATGTAAACGTCGGCGCTGTTATCCGTGAAGGTGTCAGCATGGCGTACAACGGTTGCTCGACGAGACTTATGGTGAACAAGTCGGTTGGAAAACGTATAAAAGTGAATCGATCCGTCCGCCAGGGGTGTCCTTTGTCACCACTTCTTTTTTGCATTTACATAGAATCCCTTTGCATTAGTATTTTTAAAAACAGTACTATCAGTGGTTTTCAGCTTCATTCGACCGAAGTTAAAGTGTTAGCGTATGCTGATGATATTGCAGTGTTTTGTTCCAACCGCGAGAGTATTGTTCAAGTCGTTCACACGCTTAAACGTTATTGCGAAGTCAGTGGCAGCTCTGTTAACTGGGCCAAGTGCCTGGGATTTTGGCATGGAGAGTGGAGCTCTACTCCTAGTTCGTTTGCCAACATGCAGTGGGTGACCACCCCCGTAAAATATTTGGGAGTGCCTCTAGAAAATTATCGCGATAGCGAACCCTATTGGCGACGGCAGGTAATGGAGCTTCGCGAAAGAGTAGAAAAAAGTCGGAGGTATGATCTGTCTATTTTTGCACGGGCCACAGTTTGCAATTTGTTTTTTGTCAGCAAACTGTGGTACGTTCTACAAGTTTTGCATTGTTCGCGGGTAAATGTGCAGAAATTGCACCGGGTATTTGCAGTGTTTATTTGGGGTTCCACGTGGGAGCGATCGAGTAGGACGAATCTTTTCCGGCGCGTACGCAATGGGGGGCTTAGTTTGACGCATTTATTTTTACGTCAGGTTGTTAATCGGTTCATGTATTTTCGGGACATAGGTGACCCCTTTTTGCGCACTGTTTGTCAAGTGAGAGTTGCAAGCAGGTTGCCTGAGTTGATTGTTTCCACGTCATCGATGTCGGGTGGTATTCATGGATATTTAAAGGAAGTCGTTGCCTCATGTAAATTTCTGTTATCTCGTTTTTCAGTTGAGTATTTGAGTGAGGTTCCTCGGAAAAGATTGTATAAGGCTGTGTGCGATACTGTGTTTCCTGTACCTCTATACAGAGCCTTATACTGTGCAGGCCCAGGGCAAGATGTCTTGAAGCGCGTTAAGCGTATGGTGGTGCCCGCAGGCACCAAGACTTTCTTCTTTACATTACATTCAGGTACACTGCCGGTCAAGACATGGCTAAACGAGAGGGGACTTTTTGTACCGTGGGGGGATCACTGCTTTTTATGCAAGAAGCCAGAGACGGTCGAACACGTGTTTCTTGAGTGCTGGGATGGGGTCTTCTTCTGGGACGTCCTCCAACGTACCCTGAAGAAGGACCTCCCCCTGGATGCGCATGGAATCCGTTATCTATCGGTTAAAAACGAGGAAGGTTTTCCCTTTGACCTGGTTATGCTGTTGGGTCTGCACAGTATTTGGAAGTCCCG